CCCCCAGGAACAGGAAGCTGAAGGAACCTTTTCATCAGTTTATCTGATAACAGTTTCATAAATAACTACCTCTTACCACCCAGAAATCTAATTAGACTTGTTTTCCTGCTTTATGTCCAGTGAGGTTTATAATGCGGTACTGATGAGCGCTGCTGTCTGGCTATGTTTGGTGTAGGGCTACATCAGACATGGCAGCAGGAACACTTATTTCAAGACGAGGGGATTCATTGTGCAGTGGGCTGCTTGTTTGGGGCGCTAGGTGACCCTGGCTGGCCTGGAGAGCTGGGGTGGGGCTGGGAAGGCTCGCTGATGAGCGCGCAGGCTACTTCGGAGCCGGGTCTCCAGTCAGAGTCATGCCACAAGGGGGTAGTTGTCCCGCTCCCCGAGCCCTGCTGCTAGTGGTGGGGGCAGACAGCGCCACCCGACCCAGCCGGGAACTTGCCCGAGGCGGTGCCGACGCAAGGCGATGGCTCTACGGGGTGATGGCCTATCGGGGGGAGGGGGACTAGAAACAGGCCGCAGGTGCCGCCCGCGGGGGAGGGGTCTGGCGAGTCGGTCACGGTGGCTAGAGCCCCCGCCAGGGGTTGCTACGGGACAGGCTGATCCTCCCCCGCCACTGCCCCCGGGAGGCGCGGGGAGCCGGCCTAAGGCCCCCGGCCGCTCTACGCGCCCTGCCCCAGCGCTCGGACCGCCAAGGCACCCGCTCACCTCCACCAGCTCGCATTGCCCCGGCATGAAGCGGATCTTGAGCTCCTTCTCCCGGCCAACCATCCCCGCCGGCCTCGGCCTCCGCTTCCCGCTGCGCCACTGATCCCCTCACTCCGGGTGCGGCCGACGACCGCTTCCGAGCTCACTGCGCAGCTCGGCAGCTGATTGGTTCCTCAGCCGGGAGAGATGGGGTGTACGTGAGGCACGCAAGGCTCCATCCCGCCAGCTCATTGGCCCCGCTCTCAGCCGGCGCACGCGCGAGGCTCAGTTACGAGCCCATTGGCCGGCGGGTGCCTCACAGGCACACAACGCTTCTTAAAGGGGCAGCAGCCTTATTACGCTTGTTTTGATTAGTAGGAGAAGGTAGGGGAACTCGTCCAGCCCCGCTGCTCCCCACTGTGGGTGCAGTGACAGCGTGGGACTCGGCTGCAGCTGGTGCCGCCTAGGCCACACTTAGATCAGACTGAGTTGGCTGGTGCTAGCTACACCCTGGTCTAGACAAGCCCAGCGGCAGGGGGAGGTGCTGGTGGGGCCCGGGTCAAGCCCTCCATCTGCTGGGCTGAGGGCATCGGGGTCAACAGGGCTGGTCCCTGGACCTGGGCAGGCTCCAGCACCGTGCCAGAGCTCAGCCCCCTCTGCTAACTAAGGCAGCCCCATCCTCACTCGTTTTCAGTGGGCTGGGGTAGGGGTGTGGGAGGGGCTGAGGGCTCCATCTGGGGGTGCGGGCTCTGGGGTGGGG